CCGCGGCTCGCGCCGAAGATGCGGAAGCGCGCGGTCGCGGCCAAGGCCGCGCCGACGCCGGGACCGCGGCCGGCCGCCGGCGCTCGCGCGCCCGTCGCCGCGAAGCGCTCGTCGGCGTCCGCGGGCTTCGAGCTGAGCGTCGCGTCCGGGACGTAGGCTCCGCCGCGCGGTCGCGGCCGTGACCTCGGCGCCTTCGCCGCGCGCGGTCTGCGCCGCCGCGCGGTCGCGGCCGCGGCGTCCGCACGGCGGTCGCGGCCGCGACGGCCGCCCAGCCGAGCGAGTGCGAGTCGCAGCATGTTGTGGTCGAGCGCGTAGAGCTCCTGGTGGCCCGCTATGCGGGTCCAGACCAGGGCTCCCCGCCGGGCCCGCTATGCGGTTCACCGGCGGGGCCTGCCTCGTTGACGTGGAGCTCCTAGACGCCTACGATGGACAGACACGAACGCTATTGCATGCACATGCTCTCACATATTGCTCCGAAAACCTAGCCGGGGGTGTTTTGTCGCGGCTCGGCGCTCTCGCACGCGCCGCCGAAGGCGACGCGAGCCGGTTGCGGCCAGCGAGTCCGGCGATCTCGCGAAGGGGGCTCGGCCGCGGTCCATTTATGGTTTTTCGAAGTACATCGCGCCGGCGGACCGCGGCCACGGCCTTCTTTCCACGTGGACAATGTAGAGGGCCAAAAACTACCATGCTTTCCCTTGTGACATGCGACGCGCGCCGTGGTGATCCTTTCAGGCCGCGAGCCGGCGCCGGCGTCGAGTGCCGGACCCCTCCTCTCGAGCCCTCCTACCAGGCCTCCTACCCTAACTACCCCCCGAGCCCGGCGCCTCGCACCCGCCTGCGGACCCCCGGCCAACTCGGAGACGGCGAAGCCCCGCAGGCATCCCGCGACGATGTGCTGCGCGACCGAGGGAGATCTCAGGAACATGCATAAAACCGACATCTGGCTGCGCGGATCGCGAGAGACCTTGTCAGACAAGTCGCTCGTCGTTCGCGCGTCGCTGCGAGACATAGTAGGGGCCGAGAACGGGGTCGCGGAAGGTTCGCGCCGAAGCGGTCCAGCCATGCGGCGGCGAATCGATGAGTTCTCGGGCGCTCTTGCAACCGGATGCTCGACATCATGGTGCGAGTCGATGGTGCGACGCATCTTTTGTGGCTCGTTGATTTTTGGGGGACTCGCGAATGTCCGCCGGGCGCCGAAGCGCTCCGACCGAAAACGCGAGCCGCGGTGCGCCTGTGGGCGCTGGCGGCGGGCTGGCCGTCGTCGAAGGCGTGGACCATGTGCTACGAGCGGGCCAAGGCGTCGGAGTTGTTCCGGGTTGCGACATCGGCGTGGAAAAGCTGGTTTCGTCCCGAGACGGCCTCGAAGAGCCCCCAAAACGAATGGTTTGGGTGCCAGACGGAGCGTTTCGCGTCGACCGATCACCGCCGCTGTGTTCCGCCGGGGGGTCCGACATCATGGAGCTCGTGGACGGCGACCTGGGAGATCGGCGACGACCGGAGCACGCACGACGCGCGCCGAGGCCCGCCCTCCGCGGGACCGTGCGCGCCTCCTAGCGGAGGTGTCCGGGCCTCGCCGGGATCCTTGCGGCCCGCGACCCGCCGACGGGAGGTAGTAATCGCAGCGGGCGGGTGGCGGAAGACCGGTCGCGTCCGGCCGGACGTGGGCGCTGGCTCCGGCGACGGACAGGAGGTACGCCTTAGGACGCGTCTGGCAGCTGAGGGCGGCAGCCCGCTAGTCCTTGGACGAGGCAATGCAAATCGTCGGCATTGTCGGGTAAACGCAATCCATCGACACTTCATGGCAAACAATGTGTATGTCAAAACGAGGGATCTCGCCTCGAGGCGAGCACACATGAGCATCATGGAGCCTGTGGTAAAAACCAAGGACGGACCGGGGCGTCGCCGCTTCGCCGTGCCTGCGTCGCCTGCGTCGCCGCTTCACCGCCCATGGCCAGCGACGCGCCGGGCGCCCCCCGGGGCCCGCGCGGCGGGCTGCGCG